GAGGTGCTTATAGAGTTTAGATGATATTATATGTTTTAACGGCTGTTATTGACATAACCTAATAGCGTTCTCTATTAGATTTATTTCGATATCATAATCCTATTGAATGTTCTCTGTGTCCAATGAGAAAGGAGGTGTGTGAAATTCCTATCTCGGCATACCAAAAATTTGACCCTAATTTTATCAGCGCTAGAATCAGCATTGAACCCTGATTCTTTTTCACGAGTTTATTTTACACTTTCTCATCATTCGATTTTTCGACCCATGGAGTCCCCCAGGGATGGAAAAAATTTTTTTATCAAGAATCCTTTAGAAGTCCTTACAGTTTTATAGAACTAAGTGTGCTGATTCCAAATATGATATTTATTTTAAAGATTAATAGGGAAATAAGAAAGATCTGAAGTACTTAATGAGAGGTCTAAAAACCTGTTTTTGACCTAAAGGTCCATAGAAATCTCATTTAAATTCATTGAAAATAGGCTCATTCGACTCAGAATGCTTTTCTCTACCAGAATCTATAAGAACCTTTTAGGTATTGAAAACTTTTTCTATCGAACACTGGGGAACACCGCCCCCGATTGGACTCTATTGCTATCAAGAATGACTTTTCTCGCTCCTGACAAGTTATCGTTTATAAGAGTGTACCAGCGAGATTTTTTTTATGGAATATGTAATTTTATATGCTCTTCCAAATGAAACTATTTTCAACTTGAAATTCGATGTCTAGTGGACCATTTTCTATCTAACACCTATCTCGAGACCCTTTTTTTCCTATTTTTGCCCAGTATTTCCCAGTGTTCGTCAAGGATAATGTTGATTTGACTTCAAACAAATATCACATTCGGAATTAGCACACAAAACTGCATTGACCTACATATGTTTCATATCGTTTCTGAGACTTTCATTTTTCCCAAAGGGGAAAGTGCAGGTCCCTGGCACCAAATTTGCTCTGGAATACTGAGCAGGTGCTGAGGTGCTGATAAGGTACTGAGGTGCCGAGAAGGTGCTGGACAGCTGCTGAGGTGCTCATACATATTTGGCATTAGACTGGAAATCAAGGTAATAGCTATGAAGAAGACTCAGACTATTCCGAATCGACTTTTTCGATCAAAACATGAGTTTTTCGAGAAAATAACGATTTTTGATAAAACTTCACTAAAGGCTTTCGGAGTCAAGGAACCCGAATCTATAGTTGGTTTCTCGAAATTCTCGAGTTCATTTTTTTTCAATCAGTAGAGTTCTATTTCAAGACAGGCGTTCTCTCATCGAAAAAAAAAATCGAACTCGAGAATTTTGAGAAACCAACTATAGATTCGGATTCCTCGATCCCGAAAACCTTTAGTCAAGCTTTTTATAAAAAATCGTTATTTTCTCGAACAACCCTTGTTTTGACCGAAAAAGTCGATTCGAAATAGTCTCAGTTAGACAGCAGTGTCACATATCCAAGATTTTGGAGATGCCACCACGTCTCTCGCGGGAGATACCGCATCTCGCGCGAGAGATGCGGGTGTGGGTGTGGGGAATGCGCATCTCTAAAGGAGATCTTACATCTCCAGTGGTGAATGACCACATCTCTCGAGTGTGGGTGTCGCGTATCCCGCTGGAGACGCGGCATCTCCCACGGGAGATGTGGTGGCATCTCCAAAATCTTGGATATGTGACACTACTCCAGTTAGGGGTGAGAAGTTATTGTTATTGGTTGTTATTAATAACAGATCAATAACAAATCCTAATGTATGAAGGTACCCTTAGGTGCTCATCTCCTATTATATGGAGGTACCCTCAGGTCCTCATGCCTACTACCTGAAGGTATCCTTGGGTCCTACTATCTGAAGGCACCCTTGGATCCCCATATCCTATTATATGCAAGTACCCTTAGGCGCTCATGTCCTATTATCTCAGGGTATCTTTGGATCCTCATCTCCTATTACGTGAAGGTATCCTTAGGTCCTCAAGTTCTATTATATACGCGTATCCTTAGGTTCTCAAATCCTACTATATGAAGGTACCCTTGGGTTCTCATCTCCTATTATATGAAGGTACACTTAGGTCAGTAGAGGGATGTAACAATCCTAATACTTCCAATACCAATACCATTTGGCATTAGTGGTATTGATAGTGTGCAAAGGAATATCAAAGTTGAAAATTTCGAAAAAATAATGGTAGATTCGAATTCCTCGATCCCGACAGCCGTTGTTCAAAATTTATATAACACCACTATTTTTGGGTAGAAAAGCCCTTCCTTGACGAAAAAAATCAAAAACATTAAATATGGAAAGATTAATTTTATGTTTTTGATTTTTCGTCAGTGAAAGGTTTTTTTTCATAAAGTTAGATCAAAATTTGACGGCGTTGCAGAATTCGAATCTATGATGAGTTTTTCAAAGTATTCAAGTGTGTCTTTTCATTGCACACTACCAATGCCACCCATACCATTGCAAGTATTAGCATTGTTGCACCCATGTGCTGACCTATTGGTAGCCTTATACCATAGTACTTGAGAGCCTCAGAGGCTCTCCATGTAATAGCTCTGGACAGGGGTGTCGCGAGGTTCCCAAGATTGGGGTGAGGGGTCGATGACTCGGAAGGTCGACCGAAAAATTTTTGCTAAAACTCACTGGATTGGGGGGGACGAGCGGCTTTTTGAGAATCGGTGAGCAAAAAAACGAATAAAATTCTGCAACTTTGCTGGGAAAAAACGAAAATTTCTCAAGATTGGGCAAGGGGAGGAATCCCCCCGCTCCTCCCCTCGCGACAGTCCTGGCTCTGGGGGACCAGTGGTAATTGTCTATAATAGGATATGACGATCTAAAGGTACCACCATATAATAGCAGATGAGGACCCGCGGGTACCTTCGTATAGTAGGAGATGAGGACCCAAGAGCACCCACATATAATAGGAGATGAGGACCTAAGGGTACTTCCATATAGTAGGAGATGAGGACCCGCGAGTACCTTCGTATAGTAGGATATGAGGACCTAAGGGTACTTCCATATAGTAGGAGATGAGGACCCAAGAGCACCCACATATAATAGGAGATGATGACATAAGGGTACTTCCATATAGTATGAGATGAGGGCCTAAGGGTACCTTCATATAGTAGAAGATGAGGACCCGCGAGTACCTTCGTATAGTAGAAGATGAGGACCTAAGGGTACCCCTATATAATAGGAGATGAGGACCCAAGTGTACCTTCATATAGTAGGAGATGAGGACCCAAGGGTACCCACATATAACAGGAGATGAGGACCTAACGGTGCTTCCATATAATAGGAGATGAGGGCCTAAGGATACCTTCATTTAATAGGATTTGTTATTAATCTGTTATAAATAACAATAACAATAAATTCACATCCATAGTCGCAGTCTCCTTCATAGCTATTACCTTAATTTCCAGTCTAATGCCAAATATGTATGAGCACCTCAGCATCCACAGGTGCTGAGGTGCTGAGAAGGTGCCGAGGTGCTGAGCAGGTGCTGAGGTGCCAAATCTGCACTTTCCCCCTTGGAACATGAGGGCCTAAGGAAGAACAAGAAGAATACCCCTGACTTTTGGCTACCTTTCAGTATGGGGTACTGTCCAAGGACAGTTTCGAAGGCCGGATATTTTTCCTGCAACTAGTACTAGTTACAGTTCTGGGCAGAAGGCCGGCCTGACTCAGAGTTCTTCTCGCTTAATCGCTTAAGCTCCCCTTACATGCTGACTAACCACATACGAGTTATAAAGGCTTTTTGTGTATGTCGACAATGTAATCAGTATGTTATCGGATGCATGGTCCGAGACACTACAACCGTTAGTGACTTGTCTAAGGTCATTCTATGTATGATGGTGCCGAAGTTCGAACACACTATCTTGTGGATATGAGTCGAACATCGAAACTATTCAGCCACAGCGGCTCGGACCTAAGGGTACTCGTATAATATAGTACTTAAGGACCTGAAGTTGTCCCCATAATATACGACATGAGGACCCAAGGGTACTCCCATAGTATAGGACTTGAGGACCTAAGAGTACCCCCATAATATAGGACTTGAGGACCCAGGGGTACCCCTATAATATAGGACTTGAGGACCTAAGGGTACCCCTATA